AATTCTCTGTGAAGCCTAATATTGCTGTTGACTGACTTCTTTATATTTCCATAATCTCTGTTTCTTCATTATTCAGTTTGGGACAGTTAAATGCAATTTCTAGAACCCCTATTAGTTTTACCCCAAAAGCCCAGATTTTTTTCCCTTCGTTATTTAAACCCTAGATCACAACATGTCATTACCCATTCTGTTAAGTATTGGGTATTGGGTTAATAGGCTGTTACCCGTTAACCTTAACCCTATTTGTATGGCTATATATATCTCTCTTGTTATTCTCAATAAACAACAATTAGGGTTTTCTCAATTCTCTACATGGTATCAGAGAATGAAACTCTAGCCGTCACAAATCCTCATTCAAAACCCCTAGCCGTCGCATCTTCTCCTTGCCGCTGCTACAGTACCGCATCTGCTACAGTGCCACCTCTGCTGCTGCTACAGTATCACCGCCTCTGCTACAGCGCCCCCTACAGCGTGTTGCCTATTCCCTCGACATCTCAGTCTTCGAACTGATGAGAGGATGATTGTATCCCTCGACATTTCAGTCATAGAACTGATGAGAGGAAGAGTGTCTATTTCACGTTGTTGAGATATTTTACTTTTATTCTTGTTTCCTTCGAGAAACAAGAATATAGAAATTGAGCCTTTGTGCAAACAAAAGCCAGGGTTCTCTCCCTCAGGTGATCTCGCCTACGCAGCGTGAGGGCATGACTATCTATCACTCCGTCTCTAATTCTACTCCTGATCTGCTCTTAGTTTATGTTTCAAGAACGGATCTCTACTACTAATCTGCCTATTTGACTACTATTTGTCTCCTATTGTTGCTTAAAAATAAAAAATGACTACTACTTCGATGTCGGACATCTCCTCCTCTACTACTCCTATTGTTGCTAGTGAGACCTCTGCGCCCAAGGTAGTCTTGGGGACTACTATTAAATTGAATGGTACAAACTATCTGCTCTGGACACAAGCTTTTCGCATCTTCATTAACGCTCAGAGCAAACTACCACATCTTCTTGCATCTCCACCACCAACCTCAGATCCCACCTACAATTCATGGCTCTCATCTGATTATTGTGTTATGTCTTGGCTTCTCAACAGTATGGAAGCACAGATCAGTAGCAGCGTTATGTTTTTAACCACTGCGAAGGAGATGTGGGACAACCTAAAGATTATGTATGGGAACGAGAAGAATGTTTCCCGTGTATTTGAAATTTATGAGTGACTGTTTGCGCTCAAACAGGGAGATAAGTCGGTTCCGGAATTCTTTGGTGAATTGAAGGGACTGATAGACGAACTAGAGATGCATCAGCCTGCAGTAGCTGATGCACCGACGCTATTAGGGTATCATCATAATCTGGCAGTATCCAAATTTTTTTCTGGGTTGAACCCTAATTTACAGTCCCAGGTGAGGGGACAAATATTGGGTGGAGATATAATTTCCTCACTTACTGCTACATTTTTCGGAGTCATGCAGGTCTCTACTGGTGTTACTTCTGATACTATTGCACCATCTCCACCTACGATGGATCAGTCTGTCATGTTCTCTAATCGAGACAAAGGCCGCAGTCGTGGTCGTGATCGTGACCGTGATTCAGGGGGAGGACGTGGCTCCTTTGGTGGGAGACAAGGTGAATCTGATAAGGGCTCACGACATGATCATTGTGGGAGAACCAATCATATTTCTGAGAAGTGTTGGGAGAAGTTTGGTCGTCCTCAGTGGGCCAAGGTAGCTAATACAGAGTCGACTAACTCATCTATTTCTGTTACTACTTCTGATGGTCCAGCTGTTACTGTTCCTACTGTTCAGATTTTTCAGGCAGATTATGAGAGGTTACGTCAGCTAGAACTCTCTCAGAACATTCTTTCTGCTACTCATTCATCCTCTTCAGGTATGGATGCTTACATAGCTTCTTCTCACAAACCCTGGGTACTAGATTCTGGAGCCTCATCTCATATGACACGTATAAAGGATCACTTTGTATCGTTACATCTTTCTGATAAGTTTTCTTCTATCCGCATTGCTGATGGTCTCTTTCTCCAGTTCGTGGTGATGGAGTAGTTCATGCTACTTCCTCTTTAAAACTAACTGATATGTTATATGTTCTTAAATTTCCTGTTAGCCTATTATCCATTAGCAAGTTTACAAAACAAAATAATTGTAAAGTCACATTCTTTCCATCTTATTGTGTTTTTCAGGACCTAGCAACTGGGATGAAGATTGGTTCGGGGCATGAGAGAGGAGGTATGTATTATTTGGACGACAGTGTGTCAGAGGCTGGCCTTGTTGCATCACAGTCTGACTCCATTTTATTGTGGCATTGGCGTCTGGGTCATCCTTCACTACAAAAACTTAGATCGGTAGTTTCTGTTCAGCCATCTATTTTCTCTTTAGGTTGTGAGTCGTGTGAACTGGATAAGCACCATCGTGCTACTTTTCAGAGTCGAGTCGACAAACGTAATAGTTTTGCTTTTGAGTTGGTTCATTCCGATGTCTGGGGTCCTTATCCTTTGTGCAAGGTTTTCGATATTTTATTATCTTTGTTGATGATTTATTTCGCATGACGTGTCTTTATCTGTTAAAAGAGAGGTCAGAGGTCTCACACGTTATTGAACTCTTTTATAATGAAATAAAAACTCAGTTCTCTACTTATGTTCGTATTCTTCGTACTGATAATGCTTTGGAATATATGAAAAGTGATGTTTCAAAATTTTGTGCTCTTAATGACATTATTCATCAGACTTCTTGCTCTCACACTTCACAACAAAATGGAGCTGCTGAGAGGAAGCATAAACATATTCTAGATGTTGCTAGAACACTGATGATACATATGAATATTCCAAAGTATTTGTGGTCTGATGTTGTTCTCACTGCAAATTATTTGATTAATCGCATGCCTTCCTCTGTCCTTGATGGTTTAATACCATTCAATTGTATTTATCCTGATAAAAAACAATTCTCTATGATTCCTCGTGTCTTTGGTTCTACGTGTTTTGTTCAGGATTTAACTGCTGGTTTGGATAAGTTGTCATCTAGATCCATCAAATGTGTTTTTGTTGGATACTCTCGTACTAAAAAAGTGTATAGGTGTTATCATCCGTTCATCAGGAAATATTTTGTGTCTGCTAATGTTACCTTTTTTGAGTATGTCCTATATTTTTCGTCTGGTTCTACTACTATTAGCTGTCCACAGATACCACTACCTTCTTCTGTTCCTACTACTATTCCATTACCTGCTCCTGTAGCTCTTGTACCGAAGCCTCTACTGATATACTCTCGTCGTCCAAAAATACATGCCCATGAATCTGCNGCTGAACCTTCATCTCTAGCTGTCGGTCTATCTCATGTTGAGACCTCTATTCCTTCTGACTTAGATATCCCTATTGCTCTTCGAAAAGGTAAACGGTCTTGTCCGAAATATCGTATATCTTTTTTTGTCTCTTATGACCGTCTCAACCTATTTTTTCGTCAGTTTTCCTTGTCCTTGTCCACTGTATCTATACCTAGGTCATATGAGGAAGCTATGTTAGTACCAGCTTGGAAGCAGGCCATGGATGAGGAAATGAATGCACTACTTTCTAGAGGGACTTGGGACTTGGTTTCTCTTCCTACTGGAACGACTGTGGTTAGTTGCAGATAGGTGTATATCTTGAAATATCGCCCCAATGGGTCTGTTGACCGTTATAAAGCTCGCCCGGTTGCTAAAGGTTATACCTAGATATATGACGTCGACTATTTTGAAACATTTTCTCCCGTTGCTCGTCTCAACTCCATCAGAATTCTTTTCTCTGGTTGTTAATATGGATTGGGCGATGCACCAACTAGATGTGAAGAATGCTTTCCTTTATGGTGATTTGGACGAGGAAGTTTATATGGAGCAACCTCCTGAGTATGTTGCTCAGGGAAAGAATATTATCTGCAGGCTGAGAAAGATCATCTATGGGTTAAAGCAGAGTCATCGAGCTTGGTTTGATAAGTTCAGCAAGGTTATTTCTAATGTTGGTTTCCAACGTTGTCAGTCTGATCACTCTGTCTTTCTTCGACGCACAACAATTGGTTAGGTTATTTTAACCGTATATGTTGATGATATTCTGCTGACTGAGAGTGACTCTATTGCCTTATATGAGACTAAGGAGTATCTAAACCGTCATTTTATCACTAAGGACATGGGAAAGCCAAAGTATTTTCTTAGGATTGAAGTTGCATATAAAAAATATGGCCTGTTGTTGTCCCAAAGGAAGTATGTGCTAGATTTACTAGAAAAAACAGGTCTTTTAGAATGCAAATATGCAAACACTCCAATGGAGGCAAATGCTGATTTGTGGCTTGACGATACCTCTCTCCTAGATGATGTTGGACGATATAGGAGACTGATTGGGAAACTAATATATTTGACAGTTACCAGACCTGATATTACTTTTACAGTAGGTGTACTGAACAGGTTTATGCACAAACCTAGAGAGGTTCATTGGACAGCAGCTCTGAAGATTTTGGCATATGTCAAGAGTTGTCCTGGCAAGGGATTGTTATATAAGAAGCATGGGCATACTCACATTTCGGCTTTCTCTTATGCTGGCTACGCAGGAGACATGGGAGATCGGAAGTCAACCTCAGGATTTTGTACTTTTATTGGAGGTAATCTTGTGACTTGGAGAAGCAAGAAACAAGATGTAGTATCACGATCTAGTGCAGAGGCCGAATATAGAGCAATGGCTCACACTGCTTGTGAGATGGTGTGGCTAAGAAAGTTTATGACAGAACTTGGTTTTGTTCAGCCTGGACCAATACCAATGCATTGTGACAACCAGTCTGTCATTTATATTGCACAGAATCCTGTGTTTCATGAAAGGACAAAATATATTAAAGTTGACTGTAATTTTGTCAGAGATGCTTGGGAGAAGAAGATAGTATCTCTCATATTCACTCCGTCCTCACAACAATTTGTTGATATTCTTACCAAGGCTACTTTTTCAAAGATGTTCTTTACTATATGTGACAAGCTGGGCATGGTAGACATATATGCTCCAACTTGAGGGGGAGTGTTAAGTTAAGTATTGGGTATTGGGTTAATGGGTTGTTACCCGTTAACCTTAACCCTATTTGTATGGTTATATATATCTCTCTTGTTATTCTCAATAAACAACAATTAGGGTTTTCTCAATTCGCTACACATTCAATGCTATTCCTAAGGGATATGAACTTATACACCAAAAATATTTGCCTACTGGGAATGACCTATGCGGTCCGACAAATGGAACCTCATGACCTCTAATAGTGTTGTTGCTGCTTGCGATCGTACTGAGACAAAGCTATCAATTGTTGTGACCTCGCCACAATTGCCACTATCATTGTATCATTATATTGTGCTAGTCCAAAGCTCCTACTTGTGACATAATTCTATGGTTGATAATGGAAATTTTGAGTTTGATGCATCAATCCATAGAGAATAGTATACTTAGTTGTTAGTCATCACTCATCTCCTGTAAAATGTAAATATAGGTTTATCTTATCTAGACACTCGTATAGTAAATGTATCATTAACAATTCAGGAGGTACTGTTAGGAGGAATTTCTAATCTTTAAGCATCAATAGCTTGGGTGAGCAAAATGGCTTTTTTGTTGTCCATTGCTTTCTGAAAAAGGGGATGCTCCTAGGATTGACATTTATGCAAGGCATGCTTGTGTCTGTTGGAATTAGATCAAACCATGTTTCATTGTCTTTATTAGTGTATGCTGTAGCCAATATTATCTATTATATTTTCATTCACTGTTCAAGCCTCACTCAACACTTAGTTGGGTAAGATATGGAACACTATCCAGATTGAGAAAAAAATATTAGATGGAATTTCTATGATCTGCCATTCACCTGACACCAAAACTTGAGAAACTCCTCCATTAGACCATGAGATAACCTAAACCTGAACAGTATCTTAAACGGAAACCTCCTTAGTTTTGGCTATTTTGGTTCTCCTGTCAATATTTTTAGATACTTGCAGTTTGCTATGCATATAGTTCTCCATGTTTCTCCACTCTTAAACTCGTTATATCTCTGTCTTAACCACAATCAAACTTTTTTTTACAAAATGATGTAGTATCACATGTCAAATGGCCATTTCTTAAAATTGATCAATTTGAATAGTTTCATGCTCAATCTTTCACTTTGAAGCTGATAATATTTATTTAGCTGCACCATGACAATGTCCCAAATAATCTGGTGGTTGTTAAAATTGTAAGTTTGTGAATTTACCTCAGCTTAGTGCCTATGAATCAAAGCCCAGTGCTGCGTAAGTGAAACCTACCTTATTTTTTCGGGATGTAGTTGTTCGAATTGCACTATTATGTAATTAATTGCTAACTATCAGTGAAGGACACAATGAATTCGATAGTCCATTAATGTGCTTTATCTGGAAGTTAAGATATCCTCTTTATTCGTTGCATGACCCCATTTTAGCTCAACATAAAAAGTTTTGCTTTTGTGTTATATATGTAATGGTTTTTATATTTCCCCCCACATAATTGTAGGACCCGGTGCTACTATTGGAGGCATGTGTGCTACACGTTGCTCTGGCTCATTAGCTGTGAGGTATGGAGCAAAAAATGTTTCACTTTTTCTTTCTGAAGTTTTTTAAATTTGAACTACTTTCTATATATGTTCTGATTTAAGCTGCAAATAAGATCAGTATGTTGGACCCTAGAGGGGGTGATTAGGGTCAAGAGGCTCTAATATGCAATTTAAAACTCAGCACAAGCAAACCACAAAACAGAAGTGCAATCAAATAGAAAGAGATAGAGTTAGGAATCGTTATCCTTGACGCGCGATGTGTTAACGAGGTTCGGCCCGCTGACCTACGTCCCCGCTCCCCACTCTCGAGGAGAAATCCACTAACACATCCGGTTTGGAAGCCGGAACTTCGTCTACACAGCGATCCCATAAGATCTCTCTCTCACTACACAGTTTGATCTCACAGATCACACTCCCTCACAGTAGATCTCCACAGATCTCAACCACACAGCAGCAGAAGAAAAAACAAGCAAGAACCTCTCTTTACACAAGCCCCTATAGCAAAGAGAAGAGTACTGAAGCTGGGAAGTGAAACACACTTGAAACAGAGAGAAAAACAGAGTTTTGAAAATTTTCTCAGGAAACAGAAAAAGCTCTCTGGTTTTCAAACGTTAGGGCTTAGAGGAAGAAGAAGAGGTCTGGGGATTTTATAGGAGAGTTTAAATCATTTTAAAACAAAAAACAAATCTACCCAAATGAGATAATAATCTCTTCTTCAGACCCTCATCACAGACTGTGCCAATCACTAACAAGTGAAAGCACAGGGTTCGAGGCAAACGACCGTTTTAAAAAAGTCGCGGCTGAACAGAGGCAAAAATCGGTTGACCGAAGAAAATATCGGTCGACCGAAAAATACCTTCGGTCGACCGACCGAAAAAATCGGTCGACCGCCAGCAGCTAAGGAGTTTTGACAAAACATCCAGAGACTCATCGGTCGACCGGCACGGTCGACCGATTAAGGGTTGAGAAATTCGGTCGACCGTATCGATCGACCGACAACACTCTGGAGACATAGTGAAGAAAGGTCATCGGATCGGTCGACCGGACCGGTCGACCGATTTCTGACATATTCTGAAATCAGGTTATTTGACCAAGTTGAAATATTTCCAAAATATTCATTTGACCTCTGAAAATTCTGAAACTTTGTAAAATGTTTTTAATACTAAAAACAAACTGCTTGGAAAAAGAATTTTGCAGATAGGTACTCAAACTTGTGAAAAATAGTATTTTGTGAAAAACGCTTAAAAGCACAAGTTTAAAAACGTGTGTGTGATTCCCAATAGCTTCAAGTAAACTCAGTAACTCTTTGCCTACATTCTAGCACTAGAGAGAAAAACAAAAGAAAGCTAATATCCTCATATAGAGAGCAATATACTTGAGCTTTGATATAGCTTGAATCGGATGAAGCTTTTAATCGAATTTGACGTTCTTGAAATAACGTTGCTTGACCCATCGGACGCCCGCAAATTGACTGTCTTCACAAAGCAATCAATACTAACATGGTAGGAAGACAACCAATCCATACCAAGGATGACATCAAACTCGGACATATGCAACACTATCAAATCAACCACAAACTTCGACTCATCTAGACTGATAGTACACCTCCTACAAACACTCTCCAGAAGCGATATCTCACCTAAAGGGGTGGAAACTGATAAAAGGGTGTCTAACGACTGTGCTACGAGCTGGAGTCTAGACATAAAATCAAGCGAAATGAAGGAATGCGAAGCTCCCGAATCGAAGAGAATACGGGCGGGAAAAGAATTCACAAGAAACGTACCCTCCACCACTGCTCCGCTAGCTCCATGATCACGCGGTACTACCGCATATACTCTGCCTGTGGCTGGAGACTGCTCTGCTACTAGTGCTAGAGAATACGGTACTATCTGCCCCTGAGGAACCTCCTGAACTGCACGAATCTGCCCCTCAGTCCTCTGTGCTGCTGGCGGTGCTTCAAGTCTCGCCTGCTGGCCTTGAACTCTGCCCTGATGTCGCTGCTACTACTGGTTCGGGCCCTTGCCCTGCTGAGCTCCTGATGGTACGCTACGACACTCCGATGTCTTATGCCCGACCTTGCGGCAGTTATAGCAAACTCCCTGGAACTTGCGCTGCTGATGCGCTCTCTGATCATGCTGTGGTCCCTTCTTATGAGGACCTTGCTGCTGTTGCTGGGATCCAGAAAAAGGTCTCTTGTTCTTCCCCTTATCACCGGTCTGTCTTGTCTTGGTCTTCCCTTCCCTATCCTTCTGAAACATAGCAGTCTCAATCTCCTGAGAAGTGGCGGCCTCAGCTAAACGTCTGAGCCTGTCGCTCTCCTGTCTGCCACATGCCAGTGAAGTGTAGCAACTCCATAAATCTGCTCTCAAAATCTGCTACTGATATATCTCCCTGAGTCAACCGGGACAACTCAAGCTCCTTCCCAGTCCGTGCTGCAGAAGAAATATACTGCCCATCGAAGAAATAGACAAAGTCCTCCCATGTGAGGGTCATCCGGTGCTATGGAGTGAACTAAAGTCAGTACCATCTCCCGGCATCTCCCTTCAGACTGTAGGATGCCAACCTCTGCTTCTGCACTGAATCCACATTAAGTATATCGAGGGTGTTACTCACATCCTCCTTCCACTTGTGGGCTGCAAGAGGGTCTGCTGACCCCTAGAACTCTGATGCTCTCATCTTCTGGTACCTCTCAACCATACGGAGCCAAGCCTCCTGCTCTGTGGCTCTGTCTGAGACTGCTGGTGGAATGACTACAGGTGCGGCCTCTGGTGGTCTCTCGCTGATAGGAACTGCTGGTATCCCTTGTGGCTGATTTGATGGTGGTGGTGGTGGTGTCGGTGGTGCGATATGACTCGCCACAAACTCCTCAATTGCTGCCACCCTAGCTACGATGGGAGCCATGAGATCAATAAGGTACTGGGGAGCTTGCTGCGGCTCAGGTGGTGCCTGCTGTGCCTCGGGTTGAGTTTGCTGTGGCTCAGGTGGAGCCTGCTGCGACTCTGCCTGTCCAGCTCTCCGAGTACGAGGTCTACCACGTCCTGCCATCTCTCTGATTCATAAGAAAAACAAGAGTTCATGAGTCAAAATAGACATATACACATACATAGCATATCACAATATAGTTTTCACAACAATTTAGTATTCACACAAATACTTTAAGTTTACACAAAATAGTTGTCATAAAAAAATATCCTCAAATTTTGAGATATACGCATATATCGTCCTCACTCATACTAGGGAATCCTTACGGACTCTATACATGAATCCTAAGAAACTCTATCCTAGCTCCACGACTCGACACAGGATGATCCTAAGGATACTGGAACTAGAGCTCTGATACCAACTGTGACGCCCCTGGGTTCACACAAGGCTACAATCCAAGGTAAAACCAAGAATGTCAAACCTGCCATGCACCACACCGTGCAATAACATGTTTCACCATCACAATTAACATCTATCTAGTAGAATCAACAACTGGTGTAGGTACAAAACAGGTAAAAGACAATACAAGGAATACTGATGAAATGATAATAGTCACATAAATATCTCATCATCCAACAACATAGAAGTACATAGTCAAGATCTGAGTAGATAAACTGAAATACTCAACAAGTCTCAAATACAAACATCTGACGATAAGGATATAAGGCTCACAGCCTTTACAACTTCTAGAATAATACCCTCAAATGTCTAACCTCACTACAGTGGAGACCAAAGAAAATAATACATAGCTAGAAAGTAAAGCTGAACACTAATGTGGTCCGCTATCAACCTGCGGCTCTCCGTGCTCCTGGCTCGTGACCTGAAAGGGGGAGGGACAACGAGCGTCAAAGCGCTAGCGAGTAACATCACAACCAACCCCAAGGGAAAAGGGCTCGTTGTATAAGAAAATACAGATAATATATAATAGATCTAAAAATCATTGATCCTACTAAAGAGAGTTTTAGTATTTAGAAATTTACAACACGAGCATAGGTACGTCGAGCGAAATAATCCAAACAAGGAAACCCTCATGTATATACCTTGTATCTCAAATTGTAAATCTCTAAACACCAAACCCGAGGTTCTAGTACAGAAATAATAATAAAAGAAATACAGCAAACACCAGAGCATAATTACAGTGTGGTGATATAGTCAACGTAAATATCACAATATTTATTACATAAATATTGTGTCAATACCTTCATAAGTGTGGTACAAAATTTGCATAATCAGTATGTTGTGAAATGTGGTACAATAATCACACGCAGGAAGAAGAACCATGTCCGATGCAAGGTCCAACTATCGTAGTTTTCCAAACTCATGGAATAAATGGCAGTTGTCCAACACGAGGACTGAGAGGGATTATAGTCCAACACGAGGACTTCTTATGGATTATAGTCCAACACGAGGACTGTAGGGATTTGCATAAGGCCGCCACAAGTATGTAGTGAAATCTACTTATCAGTTTTCATAACCAAATCGGTATATGTGTCCCAAATTCATACCCTCAGGTCATCTATCATGCATGGACACTATCTCAAATTGTATATCCCTAAATACCAAACCCAAAATCTAATACAAGAAATATTAATAAAAGAAGGCAAACTCATCTCAGACTTAATTACGGTGTCGTGTCACAACTCATATAAATGTCGTGTCCAGCCTATGCAAGTATAGGTGCTGACTCTCAAGGTCTAAACTGATGTAGTGGGTGTCCAACACATGGACTACATATGTAAACGGTCCAACACATGGACTAAAAGTGATAAGTGTCCAACACATGGACTACACATCATAATTGCCCAATACATGGACTAGATGAGTTATATGAACAGATGCATATACCCTAATAATCTAGCATTGGTTTATGTTTTAACATCAAAAATTTAACTTTTATCACATCATGTTAAGATTCAAGCATGAAAACACATATTCAACATCATATTAAACATCTAACTAGTTATTTAACTATGGGGAAGGGTTTAGGTAAAGATAATCTTACCTTAGATATCGTTCTAAGCCTCTGAAATAACCAGCAACCAAAAAGAAGTGCAACCAAGCCGTTTTCCCCTTGCTACACGTTGATGATCTCGCCCTCGTGTCGATATTTGCTTCACAAAGCTCTCAAAATTCTCAACTTTAGGGCTAGGGATTCAGAGAGAGAGAGGAAGAGAGGCTGCTAAGTTTGAAACTCTAATATAAGCAACCAAGCTGTTTTCCCCTTGCTACACGTTGATGATCTCGCCCTCGTGTCGATATTTGCTTCACAAAGCTCTCAAAATTCTCAACTTTAGGGCTAGGGATTCAGAGATAGAGGAAGAGAGGCTGCTAAGTTTGAAACTCTAATGTAAGGATGTTAATTTTCGTAAAAACACATGTTTATATATATGCAAACCCAAAATAAAACCGTTTGACCCGAACCAGGAATCCTAATCTGACTAGGAAAATGATCTTCGGTATTTTAGCCATAACTTTTATGTAGGTGATCTAAGACTTGTTGGAAATCTCTTGAAGATACCTATAACTTTTGTCTTTTAAGTTTTTCCAAATTCCAACTACATCTGTGAGAAAAATATAAAATCTCTCCGCTGGTCATAAATTTCCAGATTTATACATCAAGCATGAATTGTGCATTTGCTCTTATATATATACATATATACATTGAATTGATCTCAAACCAATTCCTAGCATACTCAAACATCATAATATGTTATTTATAAATATATATAACATATTTATTACTATTTATCATAAAATATTCAAATTTTTGGGGTTTTACAACTATATTATATGTAAATATATGAATTTTGTTGCATAATGCATATATGTGTTTTGGTGTAGATTTGTCTTCATCAGCGGGTGGTAGTAGAAGACAAGATCATACATGGAAATATACTTCATTAGTTGATAATGAGAATGCCAATAGACACAAGTGCATATTTTGTAACAATTTCACAAATGGCGGCATATCTCAACAAAAATAGCATCTAATCGGGACGGATAGGAAACACAAAAATGTGAGGCTTTGTCAAAAAGTCCCTTACGATGTGGTTGAATACCTAAAAGGTTATGAAGAAAACAAAAGATAGCTAAAAGATAACATGCTATAGATGATTATCTCCCCGATCTTGGAGATGAGAACATGGTGGAGATCGATGATGAGGAGCTTGAAGATGAACAAGTACAAGTACAAGAATCTAGAGATAGAGGAAGAGGCCCGGCGGTTCCTAAGTCATCTTTGGTAACGGCAAGAGGAAGAGGGAGTGTTGGCTTGCACAGTGTGGGATCTTCCACAAGCCCAAAGAGGAAGGGGCCGATGAATGTATTTCTTACATTCGACTCTAGAGGTCGCCAAGGATGAAAGAAAGCGCAAGTTAAGGCAAATGTGTATTGAAGAAAGCCTCAAAAAAGATGTAGTGGCTAAAGTTAATCAAGACATAGCTCATTAGTGGTATCAAACCGGCGTTCCCTTTAATGTTGCTCATCTTAGGTCTTTCAAAATCATGCTAAAGTCCGTAGGGGATTTTGGGCCAAACTTGCCTCCTCTGACATTACACCATTTGAGAGAGCCTTTGCTTAGGAAGGAGAAAAAAATACATTGATAATCTGATACAACCTCATAAGGAGGTGTAGGCTACCAAGGTTGTTCTTTCATGTCAGATGGTTAGAGTGACAGAAAGGGGAGGACATTGATCAACTTTCTTGTAAGCTCTCCTCATGGTATGGTGTTTCATTCCTCTATCAATGCTTCTGATAAGATCAAGACGGGTGACAGAATATTTGAGATACTTAGTGAGTAGATTAAGCACATAGCACCTCAGAATGTTGTTCATATCATCGCAGATAACGATTCTATTCTCAAATATGTAGGTAAAATTTAAGCAATTGATTTTATTTTAGTTATGAATCCTTTGATATGTTAGGATGCTCTAATATTGATCTTTTTTTTTTTGTTATAGGAGCTGAATTGGAAAAGGAGTATCCTCATTTATATTGGACTCCGTGTGTTGCTCATTGTATTATCTCATGCTCAAGGATATTGGTAAACTACCATATGTGAAGCTAACCTTGAGTCGAGCTATAGAGTTGACGGGATTCATCTGCTCACATGCATGGGTTTTGAAGCTGATGAGAGGTGAAACTAACAGCAAAGAGTTTCTTAGACCGGCGGTGACACGATTTGCCACGTCATTTATGACTTTGTTAAGCATTCATTGATAGAAAAATAACCTCAGAAAGATGTTTATTTTGGAGAAATGGAGGCAAAGTAAGTGGGCAAGAGATTCAAAAGGCAAATAAGCTGAAAGGATGGTTCACATGCCATCTTTCTGGAACAACATCGTTTGTATTCTCAAGCTCACGGCTCCTCTCATTGGTGTTCCGAAACTTGTTGAGGGTGACAAGAAGCCTGCTATGTGATTCATTTATGAGGCGATGGATAGAGCTAAGGAGGCTAATGCTAAAGCCTTTGTTGATGATTCAACAAAGTATTCTGAGGTATTTGATATCATTGATAAGAGGTGGCAAGATCAGCTTCATCGGCCTTTGCATAATGTAGGATATTACCTTAATCCTGCATTTTTCTATGATCATCCAAACATCCAAGGAGATGACGAAGTTATGAAATGTCTTTATCAAGTCATTGAGAAGATGGTGCCCACACAAGGCCAAGACAAGATTGATAGGCAGTTGGATATATATATAGGCTTGTTGGGGGGTCTTTTTGGTATAAAGATAGCTAAGAGAAACAGAAAGAAGAAGTCTCTAAGTAAATATGCATAATATAAACCCTCAATTGACTAGATTTTTTTATAGGAAATACACTACTAATCACACTCTATTTAAATTGACAGTTGATTGGTGTGAGTCTTATGGTGCATCAGCACCAGAGTTGCAGAAGCTTGTTGTTAGAGTCCTCAGCCTTACTTGTAGCTCCTTTGGCTACGAAAGAAATTAGAGTACTTTTTAGCAAGTATGATTAATTTTATTTTATTCAACAAAATAGATTTAATTCCCTTAGAGATATAGATATTGATTTGATTAATTTGTATAAATTACAGATACACACCAAGAGGAGGAATATATTGGATCATAAGAGGTTGCATGATCTTTACTACAAGTACAACCAAGCATTGAAGGAGAGATTTGACTGTAGAGATTCTATTAATCCAATTAAGTTGGATGATATAGATGAAAGCAATGAGTGGTTGTTAGGACAGTTCGGTGAAGGTAAAAATGCAAAGAATGACTTGGTGAAGGGCTAGTACAACCTTACATATGGTGTCGTAAGAGATGCGATGGGAGCTGAAGAAGATGATGCTATATATCTAAGATCGACTAGTAGGTTTTGATGATCTTCGAGTGGTATTGGTTCATCATCGAGGAGGAGGGAGCCAGTTTCTGAGTCGGAAGATGAAGAGGAGTTTAATGATGATGAGGAGGAGACTGGAGAGGAGGATATTCCCTTTGAAGGGGATGATGATGATGTTAATGAGGATGATTAGAGTCATTAGGCTATTATTTTGCTACTTATTTGCTTTGTTTTGTTAGATTGCTTGCTTAGCTTTGATGTAAGTGAACTCCTTAAGTGTTGCTGCTTAGTTGATTTGTTTTGATGGACAACTTGATTTGCTTTAATGATTAAAATATTATCTTGTGATTTGGTAGTATATATTTTATTTATATTGAGTCCTTGACATTTTTTATGTGAAATTTCACAAATATACTTTTTTCATGCATCTTGTATATCTTCAAAATTTTTGTGGTCTGGAATGCACCTCGCTTCGCTCGGGGACGCGCATCGCATTGTGCCTTGCGCATGTTCGTGTAAACTGACTTTGCGCCATGCATTGCACCTCACGTATTAAAAACACTACTGCTCAACAATGTCTCATCATCTGAAAGAATGATCCGCTTCTTAGCTTTTGCTTGATCAGCTCTAAACTCCAATACTGACCCCCTACAATCTATGTGGTGCTCAGAAATAATGAGATGCTCCACCAATAGCTCCCTCTCATAGCGAGGAGGGGATTTAATAGGCCCCATTAACAACGCTTGGATCGCCTTCCAAGTGTGAGGGGAAAGCTTGTCGATGCAATGGGGGAAGGACCACTCATATCGATCCTCCAGTGCAGTAGTTGGAGAGACAGATAAATGCCATAGTCGAGGTGGTGCCAGTATATCGGTCCTAAATTGCTGCTTTGATGATAGATATATTGCTCCCTTGATGAAGCTGACAGTACATCCATAGTGTTGGGCATACTTCTCCAAGTAGCCTGTGAGCACTTTTAATCTATACTTTTGCAACATATCAATTTTAACCTCATTGCAAGCAATGATGAGCTGGGCTCAAGGAGCCATCAGAATAGTCAAGAAGAATGATCAGAGGACAACAAATGCTTTTTGGGGGAGAAGAAGATGGACTTGTATCGATGAAATGGAAGGCTTGCTAGGGTTTACAAAGTAGGATGAAAAGGGGAGGAGCATGTGTGCGTGTGTGTGTGGGGGGGGAGGGTAGGGGTAATAAGTACTTAAGGAGGCTCCTTAGGGGGTTATTTATTGGTGTAAATTTGGGGATAATGAGATAATTTTTGGAACAATATTTTTTGGTGTTATTCATTAGGGTAATTAGTGCTGGATTCGACTTCATGGTGTTATTGGTTTGTTGGGATAATTGTGGGACAAATACCCCACTTTCCCTAAAATTACACCAACTATATCGCTTCCTGGAACAAGAGGGGAACAAAATTACCCACTTCCAATTGCCCGCTCCTCCGTCGCCGTTCTCGAGCTCGATCGCTCGCTCCTTCGTCGCCCCCTCAAAGAGATCTGACGCTAACATCGTCACCCTCAACGTCGTCGTTCTCGAGCTCGCTAGCCCTAGCTAGGCCCACCTCCGTCGTCGTTCTCGAGCTCGATAGCCCTAGTCGGGATTTCCCCACCGCCATCTTCTCCGCCTCCTCCTCCGCCGCCGCCTCCGCCGCCTCAACCGTCTCTCGAACCCAGGTACGTGCCCTTTTCCCCCCAACAATCAGCATAAATGAAGTGAAGCGTGACAAAAAGATGAGGACGTGCATATAGATTTGGATATTGGGTTTATAATTGGCCTTGTTTAAGTTAATAATAGGGAGTTGATTTACTTTGTCCCTTCCATTTACTTACAAATTGAGAAAAATATTAAGTTTATGGATGTGAAATGTGAATTCTTGGTCTATCTCTATATATAAAAAATATGTGCATCCACTGAGGACTAATAGCTAGATGTTTGGTGCTCCCTGCTCAATTGTTACAGTCTGAATATACCATTTTCTTTAAATTTGGACGAATTTAAGGTAAAAGGTTTTTTGAGTGAAAGTGGAAATTATAAGTGCTAAAGTTATTTGTTATAAGTGACCCCTCTGTGAATTCTTGTTATAAGTGATCTCTATGTTATATGCTAAAGTTGTTTGTTATCATTGAACATAAATTATAAGTGCTGACATAGTAGACTTGAGCATTCAAACACCAATGTTTTTGCTATATTTGAACTCTTACATGTACATACTACATAAAGCTTTAGTCTTTAAGCAAATGAATTTTGGTCATTATTGATATTTCCCAAGACATGAAGGATATGTTTGTGAAGATGAATGATGATCAAAGGAGAAGGTTTATGATTTGGCGACTGACTGGTGTATTTCCAAATGACGACAATCACTATGCTTATTAATGACTATTTAATGACTACGCTTGTGGACCGTAGTTTGATGACTACTCTTTTGGAGTTGTATTTTTGGGAACATAGATGTTGTTAGTTATATGCTTTTGGACTTTTATGTTAAACACATGAATGCTTTGATGACTTCATGGTTTTAAATATCTTTCAATAGTCTGCAGAAAAACTAGCTTATCCACGCACAGCAAAGCAAAAGGCATGGAAGGCAAACTTCGTTGCTCCGCAAACTATGTCCCTCTCTCTCCACTGAGCTTCATCGTGCGGTCTGCGGAGGTTTACTCTGATCGGACCTCAGTTGTTTATGAATCCATCAAGTTTACTTGGAGACAGACCCGAGACCGCTGCCTCAGGCTCGCTTCCGCTCTCTCACACCTTGGCGTTTCCCGCGGCGACGTGGTAACTATAATCTCTATCTCTCATATGCTCCGTGAATATACGTGTTCTATTTTTGGAGTTTTTCTAGCATGCATCACTCTTCTCATAGTGTTAGAATATCGCAAATTATTTCCTTTTAGTTATTTTGAAGTAACAACATTCACAAGAAGAAGAGTGCCTCTGGTTCTAGTTTTGGAAATTCTTATATTCATTATGACAGAAGATGAAATAAATGAAAAACGTACCTATGCTCTGAATCTAGTTGTAATTCTTTATAGAGTAAAGAATGTCAGCTCCACGGTTGACTCGTAACTTTTTAACATGATGATCGCTATGATTCTAGGGAATGAATCTCACATTTTTGAATGCAGAATCTATATGGAGATAAACTAATAATATCATTCCTAATAACTAATTATAGACATTCTTTGCAATCAAGGTCATAGAGAGTCTGTACACTGAATCTTCTTCTATTGTCGAACCAGGTTGCCGTCCTCGCTCCAAACGTCCCAGCCATGTACGAGCTCAACTTCGGCGTCCCAATGGCCGGGGCAGTCATCTGCACCCTCAACGCTCACCACGACGCAGCCATGGTCTCCGTCCTCCTCAAACATTCTGAAGCCAAGCTCATTTTCGTCGACCACCAGTTCCTCACAATCGCTGAAGACGCCATCAACCTCCTTTCACAATCCAACTCCAAATCCCCTCTCCTCATCCCAATCCCGGAACCCTCTGAAGACTCCTCTCATTCACCTGGTTTAAACTACGAAAGCCTCATCAAAACCGGAGACCCCTGCTTCGACATCAAGTGGCCGATCGACGAGTGCGATCCTATCGCCCTAAACTACACATCCGGCACCACATCCAGGCCGAAAGGCGTGGTCTACACACACCGCGGCGCCTACCTCAACTGCATCAGTTCCATTCTCTTTAGTGAAATAAGGACTTTGCCGGTCTACTTATGGACGGTGCCCATTTTCCATAGCAATGGTTGGTGCCTGACCTGGGGCATAGCGGCACAGGGCGGGCTCAACGTCTGCCTCCGCGATTTCACCGCAAAGACCATCTTCGAGAAAATCACCAGGTACGGAGTTACGCACATGACCGGTGCCCCTACCGTCCTCAACATGATGGCAAACTGTCCGCTTGCTGACCGACAGCCGCTCGCAGCTGGCCAGATGGTCTGCGTCATGACGGGCGGGGCTACTCCGCAACCACCAGTCTTGGAGAAGATGGAGGAGATGGGATTTAAAGTCGTCCATGTGTACGGACTCACGGAGACCTACGGGCCCGCGACAGTGTGCGAGTGGAAGCCCGAGTGGGACGAGCTGTCGGTGGATCAGCAGGCAAAGATGATGGGGAGGCAGGGAATTCGACATATCGGAACGGAGGCGGTCGACGTCAAAGATCCGGAGACAATGAAAAGCGTCCCGGCCGATGGGAAAACAATGGGGGAGGTTATGTTTCGAGGCAACACGGTGATGAACGGATACTTCAAGGACTTAAAGGCCACGGAGGAGGTTTTTGCAGGGGGATGGATGAGGACAGGGGATCTCGGGGTGAGGCATGCTGATGGGTATATTCAGGTGAAGGATAGGCTGAAGGACATCATAATCTCCGGCCTGGAGAATATAAGCACGATCGAGGTCGAGTCGGTAGTTTATCGTCACCCGGCGGTGCTTGAAGCTGCGGTGGTTGGACGACCGGATGAGTACTGGGGGGAGACGCCGTGTGCGTTTGTGCAGCTCAAGGATGGAGCTTCTGCTGATGCTGAGGAGATTATAGGGTTCTGTCGGGCTCGGCTGCCGGATTTTATGGTGCCCAAGAGCGTGGTTTTCGGGGAGCTGCCGAAGACTTCGACGGGGAAGATGCAGAAGTTTGTTCTCAGGGAGAGGGCCAAGGCTATGGGAAGCCTATTCATGAATGGCGGCGGGAAAATGCTTGAAATATAGTATTCTAAAAGTAATTGTGGATACTGTACAAATGAAGAATTTCATTTGTAATTTGATTTGTTGAACCAAAAAATAAATGGAAGTCTCAGCAATGATATGGGGTTGAGATCTGATCAATGTATTATGTTTGTTACATATGAACTTATATCTATTCATTTTAAACGTGTTCCTAATTAATTCTTCTCAATCTTCTAAGAATATTACTAATCATTTCTTTTTGAAAAATCTTGTAAAATTCGTATTCTGTGGTTATTTCAAACTTATGAACTCACATTTGAATTGGAAGTTTATTCGATTGAGATACTCGGTTATGCAAGTATACGAGATACATATGCTGATTATGATGCTTTATTTTCCAGTTATATTTTTTTATTGCTTAGTTCGGGATTAATATTTAGTTATCTACAATTTGATACATACTGTATATACATGAGGGTTTTCTTGTTTGGATTATTTCGCTCGACGTACTACGTCTCATGTTTTAGATTTCTAAGTATTAATACCATCAGATACGGGAAAATGATCTAGATAGACTATGCTTAATAGATAAAGCCTCCACTACATCTAGTAGCTCTTCCCGGGGGCGGATGGAGGTAATCTTGCTAGCGCTCTGACGCTCTTATTGTTTATCTTTTTTCCCCTTTTTTTATTTTAACTTTCAGGCGGCTCAGAGCATCGGAGAGTCACTCGGTGACGGAGTTCTTGCATAGTCACTGTCGCGTATTTTTACTAGTATGGACTCTACAGTAGTCTTATGTTTCCATTCAGTCACTTGAGTTTGTATTCATATTGTTAAAATATGTTGCCTTAGTAAGATTTCTAGTTAATCTATGTTGAGACATGTCATGTTATTTCAGACTCCAGATGTATATCAGTTGTATTTTAGTTTATTATAGTCAAGACATGATATCATTATGAGATATTTCTTTCTACATCATGTCTATTATATTTTTATTTCTCTTATTTGCCTGTTTTGTACATTCACTTCTACTTGATTTCACTAGAGGATATTACTATGATTGGTGAAACATGTTGTTACACAGTGGAGGTGCATGGCAGGTTTGACATCTCTCGATTCACCTTGGACTGCACCCAAGTGTAAAAACATGGGCGTCACAATATGCAAACAGGAAACGATTGTTTGCGATTAAAGCCTCCCATTTAAAAGTTATTCGCGTGTCTTTTTATCGGAAAGTGACACTTGGGCCTAATACTATAAAAAATTCACAACTAATTTTATCCAAAATTTTGTTAGTTTAAATAAAAAATTGGGTAAAACGTTTAGTTTATGAGAAAAACTCATCTATCATTTGTGGATGGACAAAAAATTAGTGCAAACAAGTTAAAAAATAATAAGTACCATTTCATTAAACAAAATAAACTCTATAAACATTTAGAGAGAAAAAATAACAAGTTAAAAATATGGCAAATTACCTACACTAGTATTTTAGTCCGTGTTAAGTACGGTCATATCGTAATTCATCCTTATTTCATCTTGTTGCTATTTCGTGTTGCAATCACTCTTATCCCAATATATTTTTAAAGGTCTAATGACTCAACCCCTTCGAAGCACGTGAACCCCCTCCTCCCCCACCCTCGTTGAGGTTAGAGAACATGTACCCTTCTGGAAATAATGATATTAAACAATTTATATGAAGCTATAATCAAAATTAAGATAATTTAAAGTAATTTTTTTCATAATTAATGAATAAAAATAAAAATAATCAAAATATCCTAAATGCAACTTGAATGAAATGAAGATATAAGACAATTTAGTATTCAAAAAACATTATTTGTAAATAATGCATCACAAAAAGGTTCTTAATCGATCAACCAATTATAGGATGTAATAACCAAAACGTTAAGAAAAGCTCATATAATTATTAATTATTTTTTCTTCGTCTTAATCCTCTTTTTAAAAGTTGAAAGAGTTGGTTCTTTGTCAATTTTCGCAAAATATAAAACATGTTTATTTAGTAAATTTAACGTTAAAAAATTATATATCAAAATTAATTAATGTATAAATAAGCCAACCTGATTGTATATTTATTTTATCACTGGTTGTAGGTGGGGTTTTAAATGCAGAAGAGTTAAGTGTATCAATAGGCGAAACATCTAAAATATTATTTTTGGCTTTGCTATTGGTGGTGGATATCAATATGGATAAGTCTGGAGTTAATTCAACAGATTAATTATCAATTGTATCATCTTGATTCAATTCAATTGGTTTCTCTTCCTGTGCATTCACCTTAGAATAACATGTTAATAATTTAATTTTTGAAATAATGAAACTAATATTAAATTTAGTAAAAACCTTCTTCTTAGGATTTTTATCAGAAGTACTTCTAGGTGTCGATAAGTCTAGAGTATATTCAATTGATTGACGGTATCATCGCCATCAATCAGCATCATATCGAGTGACTTTTTATCCTTTGATAAACATAAATTTAGTATTAGAACAATTGCTACATTGCATACAAATATAATTTTATTAATAAGATTATGTAAATGTTACATTTCCGTCAGTTAGCAGTAACAGCCCGTTGAGTGTTTTATCGTCCACATCATCATCAATGATTTTAATAACTGTGTAGTCTTCAACGCATTTTTGTGTGTTACACTCTATAACCTTAATATGGAAATGCATATTTCTACTGATTAATCTCTTGATAGCAAGTGAAATATCCTTGTTGTCTGCATCATATTTAAGCAAATATATATTAATTTGTAATTTCATCGATTAAATTGAAAACATATCAAACCCAATAAAGTTGCTTATTTTAAAGGACTAATTTTCATCAAACAAAGAACATCATGATGTTATATTATAAATATGGTGATGCCTATTCCATCTGTCATTTGTAAGGTAAGTTTTTATCTAAAGTTAAATATATGTTTGTGTTATATATTGTTTATTCAATTTAATTTTTATAAACTATAACATCAATAAAGAAAATGTCTATATGATAACCTATTCATCTATTGTTTTTGAGAACCATATGTACAAGTTTTACACACTAATGGATGTGACCGAAAAATAAAAAAAAAACAGAAATACCACAGAATTTAGTTACTAATTGCTTACCCGATTAATTTGCATTTTCATGAATAGTTTTTAGCTAACTGGCATTATGATCATTAATTTGTCTGCCTGATTCCTTTTGTACCCTTTAAATTATGCACGCTTGTTCTTCATTATATGTTCCACTTGTCATAGAAAACAACATAACAATGTGTGATAGAAGACATATAAAATGTACCTCATCAGCCATGAGTTTTCTAATATTGCAAGCGTAGAGTTTGGGATATTCTTTTTCTTGTTCGGAAGGCTAATACACAGGCAAGCGGGTCACTTCAATATAATTAACAAATTGGCAAAGAAGCAAAAATAGATGGCGAACCTTCCAGACAAAGTTAGGGTTTTGTATAGAACCTAACTATAGCAAATTGGTATATAATAATTAGCTTTTGTGAAAAGGGGCACAAACATATTTCTTATATAAAAATGTTGATGTAAATTGCAGTAACAAATTTTAAGGTTCAAACAAGGCCACACACAAGAAGTCATGCCAGACACAAGATGTAAATTGCAGGATGAAAGGAAAATATTCTGCCACCTATTTGTTACTCGTCACATGCCATTGTTCACTTGAACTGATTCATGTAAAGGCAGGAGTGAGGAGTATGTCAGCTTGGGCATGTGCTTATGTTCTGTTGAAGTTAGGTGTAACGGCGGTCATCAGGCTGGTATTGGCGCGGGGAGCGAGGGTATGTTGTGGCTAACTGTCTATGGTGTGCGTAGAGGAGGAGCTACCAAGATCTGTATAAGTCAAGCAATCTTTATGTTGCACACAATCTATTACCCTTTAAAAGAGGGAGTTCATGAAAAACTTTACCCTCTCCAAAATAGCCTTCCACCAAATTTAATTACCAACATATCTTGAATTCATAAACCACTCTCCCCTTTCATCGGTTACGCCTATATTCCTCCTCCTTTCAATTCATTGATTACGAACCCTCCTCCGATCTTCCGTTACCTACAGCAAGTTTTAAAGATGAAATCAATGCAGCAGTTCATCCGTTACCCTTCTTCTCCGCCAATCTTCTCTGTTCTTCTGTTACGCCGTCCCACGATCTTAAGCCATTAATCTCCAAAGATGATTGTCATTGCCCTAATCATCAACGCTGCGCCTCCGCCATCATCTCCTCAGTTGTCAGAATTTTGGCATCGGTTAGAATGATTTTACTTTTTTCCTCTTCATTTAATTTTGTTCTAATTAGCCATCATCTCATTTTTCTCTAATTCAACAATAGGTCAAGGATTGTCCGAATTAGGGCTTGCTTCAAGTCTTCATCTTGCTCCTTTGTCAAATTCATCAGGTAAAAATTCATTAACTATATTTTGTGATATTATGGTTTCTGTCCTTTTAGTTAATTTTGATGAATTATTTTTTTTATTTTTTTTTGCTGAATTGAGGAAATTAGGGGTGAAGGACTTTGTTAGATAGTATTTGCAGACACAAGAGGGGAAACTTGAGTGAGTTATGGAGGGCTAGATTTGTTTCTAAGTGTATCAGTTTTTGCATTGATTAGATCATGTTCTCACATCTAAATTCCACGACATAATTTACATGTACAAGCATATTGTGTGTGTGGGTGTATATACAGATTACACAATCTCTTTTCTTTGTCAATTGTCAAACATAACCACGTCAATAGAGATGACAGCCTTGGCCAAAACAAGAGATCACCATATGCTAGCTTAGAAACATTTAAAGTATCCCCGATTATTTTTGGCGTGTGAAGTGTGTATGAAAATGTGACATACTTGTTACCCCAGTTTCACCTCCCTCCTACAGTCAACATTATTAAGCACTGGGAGATTGCTTTGCAGAGAAAATAAATATCCATGAGTGTAGTCTTTCTGAAAAAATTAGTTTTTTGGTTGCCTGAGAAGTAGAAAGTGGATTATTATTTGTTTTTAAATTAAATTAATGTGCCTTATCCACTAATGGAAATAAAATTGTCTATCAAATTGACTAAATCCTGATGATTATAGTGAAGAGGACTTTAGCGTACTAAATGTGAAACCATATCTTCTATGCACAGGCATATACCATCACATGACACAGACTTTTTATCTGGAGTCTGAAAATGGAAATAATCTCCTGATCTTTCGATATATGATTCTGCTTGAAAGCATAAAGTGTCTTACACTAAAGAAATTTAGATTTTTAACTTGCTGGTTTTTTAGCCAGATAATCTGTTCTAAATTTAAGCTTTAGCTCGAGTAGAGCACATTTGTGTTTGCATACTGGAAGGAGGCATATCAATTATTTTCATTTAGATGGGTATAGGGAGAGAAAAAAAGGGGGGAGGGGGTTCTCTATGGGATGCATGTATATTGGACACAGGACTGGATGTCGTGTGGCTATTAGCAGTGACAATGAACTATTTTCTGTTCATAGCATGCATATAAATGATGTATATGTATGTATCTACTACACAGTAGTGTGTGGTTTGAATGGTAAGGAACTATGAATTACATAATTGGTTGCTATGAATCAGCCATATAATTGTTTGTAAGTCCAGCAACTTGAATATAATATTTACATTAGTAGTTACGTCATTTAAATACTTTTATATGAGTACACATTTCGAATGAAGTTGAAAATTTTAGTTACCATACACATCGGGGAACACATAAATAATTGTCATGAAGAAGAGTGATACAAACAATTATCTGTGTATATGATATTATGGCCTATAACAGCAGAAAGGCTACTCTAGCTTCCTAGATGCAAAACATTGGTTCTTACAGTATGGATACTGATCTTCTGATGAGTCGTAGGAAGATGCAGGACACAATGTAAGTGTAGTGAATGAAAAGTTATGCATCAGTTGTTTTACATTAGCTTTTATTGGCAAACAGAAGATTTCTTCAAATAGAATATCAATTTGTTCCATCTTGAGCTGCCTTGTGCCCATTTCCAGTAAATAAATTATCCTCTGTTTGTGGAACATATATACTATTAGTTGTCTACAGAACCTTCTGATTCTCCTTGAGCATTCACTTGTGGAACCTAGATGGTCCTATGCATTTATTAGTGAGCACAGAGCATAAAAGTTATCCTCTTAAAAGTATATAACATTTGAAAATCATATGAGAAATTAGAGATCAGTAAATTACCATGTATGTATATTTGCAAGACTAACAATTGACTGTTATATGAGATTGGTGGGTCTATAAATAGTTTAATATGAAATACTGGAGTGAATTTTTGTACAGAGATATTGGACCAAGAAAAAAAGCAAAGACAAGAACTATTGAAGTAAAATGTTGGATTTGGAAATTAGAAACATAAATACCCTATTCACTTGTTTGTTCGGAATTAGAAAAGAAGCAAAGACAATAACTATTAAAGTAAATTAGGAATGCTGTAATAGAAACCAACAAAAGCCAAAGGCATCAGACAGATTTTGAAGATAAAAAAAAAAAAGAATACAGAGGTATTATTCGTCAATTGTGAGATATGGTCTATTAGTTACATTCCAATCTCATATAAGTGAGCTGTCACCTCATACCCATTATTTCCTTGCATCATATTGGTTTGCCTTAGTGGAAAAGAGTAGTTTGGGCACAGGTACATTCTTGAAGAAATTGGTTAATAATACTTCATTCCAGACAAATATGGTTTTTTTTTTTTTTTGCTTCTTTGCCTTTTTCCTAGCCTTGGGCCTGTTATTCTTAACATGCTTTATTATTGTTGTTGTTGTTCTTGTTTTTGTTTGTTGTTGTTTACAGACAAATATTGACGGGGAACAAGTGAAGGCTGCCATAAGAGCCCAGCAAGACCAGCAGATTGACAATGTAAGTGATGCCACACTGGAATATTAACTTTGGTGTTTGCGACCATAATATCATATACACAGATAATGAGTAGCCATTTAAACTGCTTTCTGCCATCATGTGTGCATGGTTTTTTAGCCAGATAATCTATTCTAAATTTAAGCTTTAGCTCGAGTAGAGCACATTTGTGTTTGCATACTGGAAGGAGGCATATCAATTATTTTCATTTAGATGGGTTTAGGGAGAGTAAAAAAGAAGGGGGGAGGGGGTTCTCTATGGGATGCATGTATATTGGACACGGGACTGGATGTCGTGTGGCTATTAGCAGTGTCAATGAACTATTTTCTGTTCATAGCATGGATATAAATGATGTATATGTGTGTATCTACATACACAGTAGTGTGTGGTTTGAATGGTAAGGAACTATGAATTACATAATTGGTTGCTATGAATCAGCCATATAATTGTTTTTAAGTCCAGCAACTTGAATATAATATTTACATTAGTAGTTACGTCATTTAAAGACTTTTATATGAGTACACATTTCGAATGAAGTTGAAAATTTTAGTTACCATACACATCAGGGAACACATAAATAATTGTCATGAAGAAGAGTGATACAAACCATTTAATTCCCCCTCTGACTGCATATATAATATATAATAGTTACACCATAAATAGACAAACCATTTAAAATCTTTATACAGTAAAAATCTTTAAAATTAATAGCAGGGAACACATAAATATAATGATGCAAGGAAAGAATGTACCCGTGCCCAAACTACTCTTTTCCACTAAGGCAAACCAAAATGATGCAAGGAAATAATGGCTAAAGGAGCATTGGTATTATACCCAAGAGTATGCATCTGTGTACCCCAGTCACCAACGTGGTTCCGTCGTAGAACATCAAGTTTAGAGAATTTCAGCATTCGAGCTAAAGTGTATCCAATTATATTTGACCTTAAATGACCAACATGCATTTCTTTTTCAATATTAGGTGAAGAAAAGTCAACCACCACCCTTTTAACTGATTAAAGTGGTGCCCATGTCTCAATACCATTCAATAGCATATTTTGTATATACTGCACAAGTTGTAGATGTGGCCGAGAAGTTTAGTGGATGTCTAAGGAAAAGTTAGTTGTTAAATTTAGTGGTGAGGTATGCAAATTTTATAATACTACTAAAGAAAATTATTACAATGTTGAAAAAATTTGTAGTTTACAAAATTGAATGTTGTAGTTTTTAAAATTGAATGTTGCATTAAATGGTTAAAAATTGGTAGTTATGTGCCCAACATGTCCGTAAATTCACTGTGTGGTAAATTCACTGTTGAATGTGCCTACATTGGTTTGATGATCTTAGTGCATAGCATAGGACACTACTTTCTATCTAAAAGTTTTCCGCCCAAATACTTAGACTTAAGATTTCTGCCACTATTACATGAGCTCATTGGATTAGACTCTGAGAGTGGAATCAATATTGTAGATTGAATTACTAACATAAGCAATTTTTTTAACTGAGAAGGTTTCGATATCTTCAAGTATGTCTTCCTATGTATATGTCTCATATTCCGTTATATTCTTGTTCTTATTGGTCATTGTTTGAAAAAGAGTAAATTGTTTCCTGCAGGAGTGGAATGCTCCAAAACCAAGACATCTCTCTCTCCTGAAGGGTGCTTTACAACGTGGGATTGTGAGTAGAGCCATTTCTCCAATATTAATCTTTATGCTTTGTGTCCATATTTCTTTCAGCTTCTTATTAATGGTTTTCTTTTGTTTCTTTCCTCTAGTCGGATGAACAGAAATCTGAGCTTTGGTCGCCCTTGCCACACCAAGGATGGAAACCATGCAATGCAGATGCAAACAGTGGTGGTACGTGCATTCAAGTAGCAAAAGTTTCTATTCATCTAAACCTCCTGATGCAAAGGAATTTTTTCCTCTATTAACGTATTGTACCATATTTAGAAAGGGGATCAGTTTTTTTTTCCAGCTAACAGTATCATTTTATCCCTTGTAAATAGCACTCCCGGAAAAATCAACTGGATACATCCAAGTATTTCTAGATGGAGGGTTGAATCAGCAGAGGATGGGGGTAGTTCATTTATTCACAGACTACTTGCTAAATATTTTACTTTGATGCTTTCATTTCACCCGAGTTAAATTATTGATACGGGCTACTCTACTATTCAGATATGTGATGCAGTTGCGGTCGCAAAAATTTTGAATGCGACTCTTGTGATCCCTCACCTTGAAGTAAATCCTGTTTGGCAAGACTCCAGGTAGCTTTATTACTACATTGCCCTATTTGTTTATCCAAAAATGCATCCATATATATATATATATATATATATATATATATAAACTAGGAATATTTTGAATTATAATAAATTTGGCATATTCTAAATTTGGTACTTAAATTAAATTAAGATTTGGTAGTTTAAATTGGTAGCTTATATTTGTGTTATGGTGTTTTCAGTCGCCAGAGTATGGCCCTTTGTCGGTAACGGATAGGTGTCCTCCTGCATGCACCGCTCAAGTCAGATTGACGGTCAAAACAACCAAGGATCCCGACGTAGTCGACGCGTCGAGTCGACATCTCCTTATGTCGACATGAAAGGCGGCACTTGTAGATCCTCTTATCGAAGACGACTCGCAACGAGCCTACTCGACCAGTTATTCGACGCATCGCGAGGTCGACTTGAAAGACATTACTTCTCGGCGAAGCTATAGCACGACTTCAGCCTCGAGCCTCTCCCACTAACAGCACGTCGGCGTTACATTTAATGTTTGGCAGGCGCATCATACCTCTAGCCCCGATAGTCTTTATAACTCATCGAACCACGTCAGAGTCGCCATGTGACGCCCTTTTTTTCACGCATGGCTGCAGTCCAAGGTGAACCCAGAGATGTCAAACCTGCCATGCACCTCTACTGTGCAACAACATGTTTCACCAATCATAGTAATATCCTTTAGTGAGATCAAGTAGAAGTGAAGGACAAAACAGGAAAATAATGGAAAAAAAATACAATAGACATGATAAAGAAAGGAATATCTAATAATAAAATCATGTCCCAAATAAACTAAAGTGAAATACAACTGATATACATCTGGAGTCTGAAATAACATGACATGTCTCAACATGGATCAACTAGAAATCGTACTAAGGCAACATGACTTAATAATATGAGTACAAACTCAAATGACTGAAGGGAAACATAAGACTCCTGTGGAGTCCATACTAGTAAAAATACGCGATGGCGACTATGCAAGAACTCTGTCACATTGCGACTCTTTGATGCTCTGATCCGCCTGAAAGTTAAAGTAAAAAAAGAAAAAAAATAACAACAAGAGCGTCAAAGCGCTAGCAAGATTACCTCCATCCGCCCCCGGGAAGGGCTACTAGATATAGTGAAGGCTCTATCTATTAAGCATAGTCTACCTAGACCATTTTTCCGTATCTGATGGTATTAATACTTAGAAATATACAACATGAGACCTAGTACGTCGAGCGAAATAATCCAAACAAGAAAACCCTCATGTATATACCGTATGTTTCAAGTTGTAGATAACTAAATATTAATCCCGAATTAAGCAATCAAAATATAACTGGAAAGTAAAGCATCATAAACCAACATATGTATCTCGTATATTCGCATAACCGGATATCTCAATCGAATACCTCAACAATGTATCATAATCACTTTTGGCGTCCACCAAAACTTAGATTATCAACAATCGTCACAATGCAACTCCATGCAAGTTCTGATTCATCGCATTATCATGCGGAACAGACTACCATGTCGGTATCCTAAACAATGTACATGGCTCATTAGTCTCATCGCATCACAATGCATAACCTAAGTGCGGAACGGACACCAAATAGGTATCCTAGAAATACGGCTCACAAGCCTCATCGCACCCTAGTGCGGAACGGACTGCTAGATTAAGAAGATCAAAATCCTTAGCTTCTTCCATTGTTAACAGTGTGTAAAAAACAAGTTTCTTCTTCCTCTATTATTCCAACATTCAGATCATAGCCTTCGCCTTCAGAAATCGTAGGATAGAGTACAGTGGCTACTATAACCAAGTTGAGATATTTGAAAATGGGGACAGCGAGGACCGTTCTTTCGAGAAACAAGACTCGTAATCTAAAGTTGAAGCTGCCAGGGGAAGTAATCCTTGTCGAAGACCCACAAGAACCCAAGGGGTTTCAAATTGAAAAGATTCTTCAAAACGTCCGAAGGCAAACCAAAGTTTTAGACAGCTTGAAGCAAAATGGGGTGTCTAGCAGGTATTCGCCCGAACTAATTTCCTTGGGTCTAAATATTGCATCCAGGCCCATGCACAGAACCAAGCCAAGGAGAACGGCGTGAACATCACAATATCCATGGTGTGGTACTCCCCTTGTTGTGATCTCTCCATCGAGAGTGAAGCTCTCTCGTGTATCGTTACCAAATTTGGTCCTTTATCCACCGAAGAAGCCCTTGGACGTTGTAGAGACATTTTACCGGCACTACCACATATTTGCTCTAACGCAACAGTTCTAGTGCAACGTTTATGACCGTTGTGCTAGGTATCTATGGGGGCGGTTTTACAACGCTTTGACAACGGTTTACAAAAACCGCTTCGCTAGGCCCAATAATTTTGATTTGGGCCGATTTTATAGGCTGGTTTGGGCTTAACACTGAAACGAAATCTCTTTTTTTTTCTCACTGCTTTACCAAATATCCCTCTTTCTCTCTCACTCAACTCATCACCCCTTTCTAAAATCTCCCTCTTCGTTCGCTCTGAGAGATCGCCATGGCCGAAATTCGTCGATCTCATCGCTTAACTCGTCGCTAATCTCTTCGCCGTTTTTCGATCTCATCGTCTCCGATCTCAACTCTGATTTCGTCGTCGATCTCGTAACTAATCTCTTCGTCGAGCTGCTGGTCTCGTCTCCGATCTCATCTCCGATATAGGTCGTCGAGCTCGCAGCTAATCCGTCTCCGATCTCACTCTCCTTTGGACTCTCAGGTACCTCGTTCCTTTTATTTCTGATTTCTACAGTTTCTTCCCCTTTCTATTAGGGAAATTGTTTAGTTGTTGATGGCCTTTTATCTCGCAGTAGCTTACTAATCAGTTTATCTCGCAGCTAATCCGTCTCCGATCTCATCTCCGACCATTTCTCGCAGGCACAAGACGAGATTACATATTGGACAGCTAGTGAAAGATACATCAGCAAAGCTTAAACAAGGTAGTGAAAACGATCACCGTGTTGAAGTTAGCGTGAGTCTTTTACAACAAACTCCTTTCAGTAACGATTTTTTTTTGGTATTTTGCTTTTAGCGTTTTTGCAGTGCTTTGAGAACTCTGTCCTCAGTATTTTACAACAAACTTGTATTAGTCATGCATTATCTGCTAATTCACCGACAGCCAGAGTGAGAGATTGTTGGGATGGAAGTTGGGGGAGGTTGTTTTTGCTTGGCACGGCAAGGGGGGCTCATGACTGTTGATCACCACTATGATTAGTGTTTAATTTGTTGTTGTGTAGATAGGGGATTAGGATTTGATTATATGGGGTTTTTTGTGGGGGGGATTAGTTGTGAAGAGAGGGGGTGTTTTTGTTTTGAATTTTTGTATCGCTGATGATGACTTAGTTTTGATTATTAAAGGGTGCCATGGTGAGAAGAATGAAAAGATTTGCTCAACTTGGTACTTATCAAGAGGAGAGAACTGATGTATACTAAAGTTGTTTTGTGGGTTTGATCATGTTCAGTTCTGTTTTTTTTTTAAATTGGGTTTCTGTTCAAGCAAAGTTTTCAGGCCTTGATTTCATTGATGCGTAGGCAGTTTTTTTACTCGGTTTGTTAGCAGTTATTGTCTTCCTCTACTCAATGTATTCAGATCATCTTCATTAAGTTTGTAACGCATGCGATTGTGATTCTTATTAGGGAGATACAATTTCAGATACGTTACAAATGAATAACAACTGATCTAAATCCCTACTACTTCCCTCACACAATCTCTTCAGTAACTCTAATAAGAGAGGGACAACAAAATAAGCCTCGAGTTCTACCAGATCACAAAAGCGAACAAAATAACGGGGACACAACAAAATAAGCCTTTGAGTTCTACAAGATCACAAAAGCAAACAAAGTCTCAACATGATTATATGCAGAGAACCCATCCTTCCCCGCATTATTTTTTTCACGGGTAAATGAAGCATATAAGCACGAAACATGACACATAATGACACACAACAGATCCTTAAAGCAATGAAGCATATAAACTGTTGCTAGTTTCATTCATGTTTTTGTTAATCCTTCCACTCATGCAATGTTGTGTTCATAAATTTCTTTACTTTCACTACTAATGTGACTTATATGATGTTTAAATTCCAGTGAGCAAGAAAAATAAGAAAGAGAGCTACCAAGAAGAGTTAGAAGAGCGTTTAATCTCGTTGATTACATCATTATTTGGTAAGAAGGTAACTTAACTTGTTTCTTAAAAGCGTTATGATATTATTCTTATAGCAATGTACCATGACTATGCTTCTAACTGTTAAAGTGTTGAATGCACTTATGTCTTTAGTAGTTATTATATTATTATTTTGTAGGATATTCACAACAATGTGTAGGCGTATAAAATTGCCTATAGGTCCCTTAGCACAGCTCGACGCCGATTTAACAAACGGACCAC